CTTCCCACTCAGTGTTATGAGAGAGCAAGCCACTTCAACAAATCTTTCAACTATTTGTAAAGCTAAATGCAATCAAATCCCTTATTGACATTCTAGAACATTAGGTGATAAGTACAGATTTACATTCTCTTCATATGCTTTGGATATTTCCAGATGCTGTTTTGGACAAACAATACCATAAATCTCATATGTGAAGCTACTTGCATTAAATACTCAATGCAGTTTCAAAGCTTCTTGAACCAAGATAAATTGGACAGGTTCTAAATAAGTGACTAGAATGTTGGATATTTATGTAACCTGAATCCTAGCTATGCACTTCTTAGAGTTTTTCCCCTTGAATACTACTTGCCTGTTCTGCAGTTTTGATTGTAGACATACAGTTGCTATCAATAGTTAAAGGCAAATTCCAAATGAGCTCCTATTAATCATACCCTTTTCAGAATAATTTCATTGGGGCACTATGCCTGACAAGACTCCTTTTATGCACTGGGAGGAGCAATTTGTGATATCACCTTACAAGAGTTTAGCATACTCGTCTTCCTGCCATCCTTCCAAATAGTTCTGCTAATCAGTACATATGAAGGGCAGAGCTCAGGTTCTGCCTGCCCAGTGCACTCTATACACTTCCCTAGGCAGCAGGATTTGTCTATATGGCCTCAGAATGAGCCTAAGAGTGCCACTAAGAAAAAAGCTGTACCTACTTGCTCCTGTTCTGCAGTTACCCAAGCCTGCAAATCTGGCATTAGATGCCTTAAGATCAAGCCTTAACAGTTAACAATACCCTAGAGCAAGAGTCAACAATCCCCAGCCTACATGCCAGAGCCTGGTATGAAAGGCCATTTTTCTTAGCACACCACAGCCAGCCCAGGCTCTGTGCAACTGCTGCCAGCCATGGAGCCCAGGCTGTGCACAGCAGGCAGCCAGGAGGCTGCAAGACCTGCTGCAAACAGGTAGGAAACTTCAAACAGCTGCACGAGCCCTGGCACACATGCCTCAGAGTGAATGGCAGGGAAGGGGCCGGTGCAGCACAACCCTGGTTCCTCCCCTGCCATCCATCCATAGGCACACATGCATCCACTGCCAGCAACAGGGATCAGGCCCCTTACAGCTGCCCTGCCATCTGCCCTGGCATGCCAAGTTGAGGCATGGGTAAAGGTTGGAGTGTTTTTGGCAAATGTTGTTTTTGGCCAAATGTTGCCAGCCCCTGACCTAAAACATACATCTCAGGACCCAGCCTTTCTATCTCAGTGAGTACTCAGGTTTGCCCTAGTGCTACCTATATTGCCTAATTTGTGAGTTAGAGTGCATGCAAGTCAGTAGGCTTAATTTATCACCACTGCTCCTGGGCTTGCTGTGTAGGCTATACAGGCACCATTTTAAACTGAAATCTGGGTAGCCTTTACTCCTTCACACACCCCTGCACAACCATGGAAGGGCTAGGTACAATCTAGACTACATGCATTGACTTTTGGTCACCTAAATCAGAATACTGATTATGTGATTGTACTTTGTGGCTCTTTAGAAATCCATCTTCCATCTTAGAGGTTTTATGGGGAAACTCATTACTGTAGTATGTGAACTCCTTCCCTATCGCTCAGTGGAGGGAAAGGCAGGACTGTTTGCTAAGGATTTCATCTGCCCTGTAAAAGCGTAGTCCAACTAGACTGTCGACATGCACAGGGAGGATTTAGCCAAGAATCACTTTTATCCCTATATCTCCACCACTTGCACGTTTAACTAAGCATTTCACACTGTTAAAAACATGAAAGGCAATTGACATAATATTGAATGCACCACTTGAGCACTTTTTTTAGCTGCTTCCCCGTGCAGCAGATACAACTGAAACAATTACCTGCTATTGTGTAACTTCTTTGCCCCTTTTTGCTCTATACTCAAATTAATAAATAGAGAACCAAATTTGTACATGGATACCACTCCTGAGGTCACCCAGACTACTTCAGTGTCCATAGAGCATCATATTTACTCTTGGTTTATTTACTCATTCTCTTTCTATTTCAGTAATGAAAAATGAACACACCGGTTCAAATCCCTCCAATCTTTTTTCAAGCAAAGGTTTCACCTACTTCAGTGAGAAATGTGGGTTCACTCTAAAAACATGAAATTCACCATCTTAAGGCTTTAACCAGGGCAAATGAAGTGCTTTTTCTCATGCTGGTCCTCTGTGCAGAATGAATCTCACCCAAAGCTAGTACATTCTAACCGCATCTATTGAATTTTAAATCTGTCTCCATCGATTTTTTCAATAGAGTATTCAATCACCCAAGCATAAGGGACATTGGAGAAAGTTTTACATCACTGGGCTCAGATACTCAAGTGTGACAGAACAGAAATGGCCACATCTGGTGTTTGGGGGCAAAGGTAGCTTTCTACAGCATTTTGACCTTCCATTGTTGGGCAGTACTAAGGTAGGACTAGCCTCTCAGGGCAAGAGCAGACACAAATGGTAATTTGCATTGGCATATTGTGCTCCCAGTCAGGTTTTCCAGCATTTATCATATCTTGGTCCTGTCCTATCATGACACTGAATGGCCTATGACAGCTTTCTCTGGAATATCCCAAGCACAAATAGAAGCCAAGGATCTACCTGTCCAGAGGGCTCAATTGTGTGTTACAGGCATTGGCCTGTACTAGAGAGGACACAGCCACAATCGGGAGGAGCCCTGTGTCATGGAGAATTCCTCTTTGAGCTCCTTGTTGCACAAGGGATAAAGCCACTAATGTACCTCTTGGAGTGTGAGGGAGCAACGCTCCTTCTGTCTTCTCTTTTATGTACCTTATATTTCAGGAGACTGTAAATAGAGGACCCCAGAGCAGGCATATCAAATCTTGAGAATACAAGAGTGAGAGGACTGAAGGCCCCTTCCCTATCTCTGGAACAACTGTTTTTTTAAATTATGCTGCTTACTAAAGTAAGTTCCAGTCCTGCAAATATTCTCAGGTGCAGTGCTTACTTCTGTGAGGGTCTCATTTTTTTCTGTATATGCTCCTATTCTACTAGCGAGCATGGGATCCTTGTCAGCATATTATCTAGTAACTGTATCAAACCAAGGGAGTGGATGGAGTGTGCAAACCATTTTCAAACTTTGTTGCTTAAGGGCAAAATTATCTCTAAGAAATCTCTGAGAACCATTAACTCAGCTCATGTAAAGGCCAAAGCAGAATTACTTTTCCTGTGCTTAGGCAATTGTAATGGCTGATCCTAGAAAGAAACACTGATCTACCAAAGAAAAAGTGTAGGTGGGCATATGGCTCCCACTACAGACAAATGCACACATGCAGACATGCATACAATAGTTAGCTGAATGGCCAACTGCAGGAGAGAAAGGGCAACGCATTTCAAAAAGGTGTAGTGGCAAGAATGGTAACCTGCATAGCTGTTAGAAGGATGGAGGGATAAGTACTGATTCCAGAGGAGGAGAATGTGAGGGAAGCATCAGATAGTCAATTTGTGGCCAAATGGCTAAACAATTAGCTGCATATTTGTATACAGTAGGGGCATCTACATATAAAATTAATATGAAGCAAAAAATTCCAGTGTGCATCACACTGGAGTTTATTATTCCCGGGTGCTGTGTTTACATATGCTCCTGGGACCACAGCACATTGAGCTGGGTCAGAGAGGGGGCCAGAGGTGCAGCGTGCCAGCCTGGGCTGCTCCAACCCAGCTGAATATGCTGTGGAGGGGCTGGTTGAGGCACGAGGGTGCTTCACTGTGTGTGGGCAGGCAGCCCGCACACAAAGCGCTCTTGTGCCCCAGCCAGTCCCATTGGCATCTACATTTGAGTTTCTGGGCAGTAAAGAACTCTGCCACAGGACAGTATTTATATTTACAAGTACTATTCTACCAGAAGTTAGTTTACTGAAGCCTAATGGGGCCCCACATGTAGATGCAGAGACTTTATTACAGGTCTAATTAGGCAGCTCCGCAGTAAATGTCTCAGGTAGATGCACCCAGTAACATTAATAACCATCCAAGATAGGGTTAGAAATGCAGAGTCCTTTCACAGCACCTGGTACATGACATATCCTTGAGTGTTAGGCAGCTCCATACAATAGAATCTGCCTGAAGGGCCTCATTAAAGCCTATTTACTCCTGATGGACATACTACAATCTACCTATGCTGAACATCAGTATTTCTTATGGTTGTTCAATTAAAAGAAGGAATACTTAAGCAAACTTATCTTAATGTTAGCTCAAGAATCAGACAGGAGAGCCCTTGCTCTGAATGCAAGCACATAG